CCGCCACCCACCAGCTGGCTATGCGCGCTGGCCAGCGCCCTCGCCTGCGCTCTCAGCCCCGCGGTGAGTGCCCGCCCGGCCCCGCGCTCCTCACCCCCTAGAATCTCGGCAGCGGGAGGTGGAAAGAGAGGAGCAGGCAGCGGTAGGGCTCGGTCATCCATGCCTGCATCTGTGTTAGGGGAATGACACGCACCGAGCACCCCATCTCCACCCACCCCACTCCCGCGCCCAGCCGGGGACTGGATCCAGCCCCACAGGCCGAGATTTCGGTTGTGTCTAGTCCCCAACAGCGCAGCAGGGAGTGGGGATACCAAGCGGGATTGGAAAGGCCCCCAACCTACCTTCGGTGTATGTTTAGGTGTACGGGGCGGGAAGGGGCTGTGTCTTGGGAAGGAGTGTCTGGGAGATTGTAGATTGTGGGTTGGAGGGAAACTGTGAGGAGCCTTGTGTGCCATCGCCCATCTGCAGGTGAGCGCGTGTAGGGGAGGAGTCTTAGCAGCACGCTTCACCGCTGGGGTCTCCAAGAACTGGAATGGGATCGTTGGGAGTAGGGTGGGGACTAATTTCCCATAACTGAGCAGAAGAGAGGTTCTGGAACTCAGAGAAGGTGGTAGGCAATGAGGTGCTGGCAGGGGGAGAGGGGGTGGAGGAGGCTGCTTGGAGGGGGGGGCGGGGCGGGTTGTGGTAGGGGCCAGTGGTTCTCCGGAGACTGAAGCAGGAGCGGACAGTAAACAATAACTGTCCTCTTCCCCTCGACTCCTCTTGCTCTTCTCCCAACTCTGTGTATTCCCCTGAGGCATGTGTGCCCCTGGGAGCGGGGATGCGTGTGTGTGTGTGTGTGTGTGTGTGTGTGTGTGTGTGTGTGTCCTAAACTGCAGGGTAGACCAACTTCCATGAAATATCTCCCTGAAAAACAAGCGGAAGCCCCAGGACTGCCTGAGACCACTTTACAAATGGGCAAAAGAGACCAAACACCCAGAGTCCTCTCCTTTCCCAGTGACTAAGGTTGGATTCCTCCTGACACCCCCACCCCCACCCTGCACACTAGTCCCTGAGGAATCAAGGGAACTGCCAGAGCAGGACCTAAAACTCTAAAGGGGGCAGGGCTCCAGCATTGAGAACTCATTGTCCCACAATTGACAGAAGTCCTGATAGCCCTGAGACCCACCTCCTGAGCACTTGGAGTCTGACAGGCTCTGGCCCTGGGACCACAGTTCTGCCCTGGCTTGCAGCCCCTCAGTGTCAGGGGCCCCTAGTCCCCCTGGCAGCCCCAGTGGTCTCCAAGCCCCCCCCCCCCGCCCCCCGCCCTGACTTCTCATGTCACACCAGGCCACATCTGCCCCCCATCCCCATGTCCTGGGACAGCCCAGGCCAGGGCTCCTCCAATGCCCATCCTCCCTACCCTTCCACACCCTCCAGCTCTACCTCTTCCAGACTGCTGTCCCTGCTTTCTCCACCCAGCCCACTCTGCCCTCCCCCCCACCAAATGCCCCTGCCAGCCCTGCTCACCTTCCAACTTGGACTGCCCTCACTGTCCCATGGGGGCAAGGGCTAGAGCAGTGCTGGGCCCACGCAGGAGCAGAGACTCCTCCAAGCTGAGTGACAGCAGGCCGGAATGCGGGCTCCCCACTTTCCCTCTCTGCTGCCCTCTCTTCCCACACGGACCACCAGTTGGGACACAAGACGGACACCTGGCAATCTTGCTCCAGCTGAACTCCAGAGGGGACAGGACGGAGTGTGGGTGGGGTGGGGGTGGGGGGGCCAGATGTTATCAGAGTCATAAAATGTCAGCTGCAAAGTTCAGATTGAAGGCCCGAGGCTTTATCACTCCCACTTATGGTCCCCTGACCTCAGCCTAAGAAGAGGAAATCTCTAAACAGGGAAGCAAAAATAAAGGGGAAAGAAAACCTCTAGGGCAGCGGTTCTCAACCTGTGGGTCTCGACCCCTTTGGGGGTCAAATGACCCTTTCACAGGGCTTGCCAGATTCATCACAGTAGCAAAGTGACAGGGATGAAGTAGCAACGAAAATAATTTTATGGTTGGGGGGGGGGGGTCACCACAACATGAGGAACTGTCTTAAAGGGTTGCAGCATTAGGAAGGTTGAGAACTGCAGCTCTAGTGTCTCAGAGGAAGACGTCACCATACACACACACACACACACACACACACACACACAAAGACAGCAGGAACACAGCTGCCCAGAGCAGTGCCCAGGCTTGGGGCAGGGTGTGGACCGCCAGGCTGGTGGGGGAGGCCCGGTGTCTCCAGGTACTTGGATCCAAGAACAGAAAACCTCTAAAGACATGGCCTCCTTCCAGCACAGCCTCCTGGAATCCTGCGTAGTCGTAAGCAAGGTCAGACCTCACTCAGAGAAGAGAGCTGGCCCAGCTGCAGCATGTTCCCAACAGCTCACTAGGCAGTGTGCTGGCCCAAGAGGAGTGGAGTAGTGGGGGACAGCCACTGGAGGGCTTGGAAGCAGATGGCAGGGCCACCGTGAGGAGGCAAGGCAAGGTCTTCAAGGACAGGTGGTCAGTAACCTGCCTTAAAGTGGAATGGCAAAGGGCTTGGAAGCAGATGGCAGGGCCACCGTGAGGAGGCAAGGCAAGGTCTTCAAGGACAGGTGGTCAGTAACCTGCCTTAAAGTGGAATGGCAAAAGCCAATTGGGCCATCCCAGCCTCCAGGGGCAGCTGGGGCCCACCTCGTTCTTTCGGATTCAGACCCACGGGCCCTGCCAGCAGAGATGGTTTTGTCTGGAGTGAAAAGTCAAGGCAGTTTGGCCAACCTTCCAGGCACTGAATGCACTGCCTCCTCCAGGGAGCCTCCCCTGACTGTGCCCCTCAGCTCAGCACTCTCTGCCCCAGGCTGAACCTCCTGGGCACGCACCTTAGCAGTATTGCAGAGAGAAAGAAAAAGAAACCATTTATTCTCACCACCATACGTATGGTGATGCCCACCCCGCTTTTTAAAAGTGTATCCTAAACATGTTCAACCCTATAAAAAATAGGGCGACTAGTCTAATGAGGATGCAAATAGTCCAGTCGCAGGTTTGACCATTGCTAACCCTGGGTGGGGAATGTTTGCATCGCCTGCTTAAGGAAATGACGGGATGTTAGAACATTTGCATTATTTTAAGCTGCATCTCGGAGACCAAGGGATGCATCATCATCATCATCATCATCATACCTAATACAAGTTGTAATGGTTCCTTATTATTCCAATATCTGAATATCCTCAATCAGGCACCACAAAGTGAGCACCATCAGTCTATAGGCCCTGCCTGTGCGGTACTCCCAGATCCTTCAGGGACTGGGGTGGATATGGGGGGATCCAGCTCTGTCCAGATATGACTAAGAGGGAGAGGACTCTGGTCCCCACTTTGCCTGTCTGTAAAGTGGGCACAGGCAGATGCAGTGACTCCTAAGGACGTCCTTATTTCTGGAAGGAGATGTTCTATATGCAAACCTTGCCTTAATCAGAGTCTCCTCTGATGAGCAGGTGAGCTATCCATATCTAATACACACACACACACACACACTCACGGCACATGACACACATGCCAGGGCACACACATACCAGTGTGGGGAGGAAGCAGAGGTGAGTGGAAGAGAGGTCACTTCCCTTGGGAAGGCGATAATATTATCAATTGCTTGGGTAAAGGGTTAGTGGTGCTGTCTGGTAAGCTTTGGACTGGGTCCACAGGGTTGGCAGTTCTAACCCACCAGCCACTCCCAGGGAGAAGGATGAGGTTCTCTCCTCCTGTCAAGAGCGGCCATCTCAGAAGCCCTTGGGGGTTCTACGCTGTCCTGTAGGATCGATTTGAGTTGGACCGGACTAGATGGAAGAGTTGTGTTGAATTGAGTTGTGTCAAGCTGTGAGGGGCTTCCTTGTCTGTGTCCCGAGACTGTGCCACAGGCTGGCAGGGTGGGTGAGGCAGGAGAAAGGCCAGGCGCTTCGCTGGGCAAGTTCCCATTCTTCCACGGGTGCTCTCAGCGGCATCTGCCGGCTCTCTGACTTGGATCTTTGCTAAGCTTTAAAAACAAGTTCTTCCTGCACAGTGAGACACCAAAGGAGGGGGAAGAGATCACCAGGCAGCCTCTCTGTGGGGAGCACTTGAAGCCACGTGCCCAGCTTCCTGCTGGAGGCCCCAGTGCCAATGTCACCCCCAGGCTCCGGATTTGCAGCCTAGGTGTTCTGTCCCAAAGGGTTCCTGGGATGACCCTCAAGGGACAGAGGATTCACACTGCCTGCTTGGCCTGGCTCCCTCCTTTGCTGGCCAGCTCAGAAGGGACCTTCTACGAGAAACCCTTAGGGTTTCGTGTCCCAAAGGAAACCAACTTAGAAGAACCTGGGAGAGGACCAAGCTTTAACTCCAGCCTTTGCTTAGGACAACTCACTGCCTTCGAGTCGATGCTGACTCATAGCAACCCTGTAGGACAGGGTAGAACTGTCCCTATGGATTTCTGAGGTGGTAACTCTTTACAGGAGTAGAAAGCCCTGTCTTGCTCCCTCAGAGCAGCTGGTGGATTCGAACTGCTGACCTTCAGGTTAGCATCCCAATGAGCAGATTCTCCTAATAACAAGAACTCACTTTCGCCGGACTCCTCTAAGGGATGCCCTGGTCCCACTATGAGCTGTGTACCCCTAGGATGCCCCGTCACCCCCACACACCTGTTCTCCGGGTACCCCCTCAGCACCAGGGCAGAGGCCAGCTGTGTGGCAGACAGATATACTCATGTAAGAAGACTGGAAGGGGGAGAGAAATTAGACTGCAATAGGGAGAGCGGGAACTGCCAACCTCGCCACCACTCCTGTGGTGGGCAGGGCTGTCACTTGTCAGTGGGTGAGACATTCAGACTGCTGTGGTCGTTCTAGGGATCAAAGCTGTGGCTGGACTGGGACGGGGTGTAGACAGCAAGATTAGCCTGGCGAGGGGCGGTCTGGGGCTCTGACCGTAGCAGTAACCGCGGATCCTCGTGCCAGCCTGGAGCCCTTTCGACGTGTTTCTCGCCACAAGCCTGGAAGTAGGGGGTGCTGCGGTCCCCACTGTATAGAGGAGGTTG